TCAATGAACACAGTTTGAATTTGTACTGTGGGGGTGATATAAATAGTGAAACAGAAGGGTTTTCTGATATTTGTGCCTCCTGTTGCCTTTCAGGTCAGAGTGGCCTGGGAAAATCTACTCTAATCAACACCCTCTTCAAATCCAAAATCAGTCGCAAATCTGTGCAGCCAAGTCCTGAAGAGCGCATTCCCAAGACGATTGAAATCAAGTCAATCACACATGGTGAGCCTTTCCAAGAGATCATGGGGTTGCTTTGGGGGGAGATGAGGATGTTGAAGAACAGCCAGTCAAGAGGCAGGGAAACAGGGCCAAGAGGACTGTTCAACTGGCTCACTAGGGTATAAAATTTCTGAAACATCTGGAAGTTCTGTGACCCTTTTCAGCTCTGATGTCAATGTGTATCTGAAGGGATCCCCCCCCCACCAATTGCATTCATCCTAGGATGATATTTTCTTGCCTACCTTCTTTGCATTCTGTTTCAGATATTGAAGAAAAGGGTGTTCGTATGAAACTCACTGTCATTGACACCCCTGGATTTGGAGACCACATCAACAATGAGAATTGGTGAGTAGCTATCAAACAAGAAACTCTCCAGGCCACTGCTCATGGAGAGGCTGGAAGGGAGGATAAGGGGTGGGTGGGAGGCTTTTCAGTAGACTGCATTAAGCTGGCAGTTAAGGTAGTGGGGGGGTGCATGTTTGTGTGGACTCTATGCAGCATCACTTTAACAAGGTCTGCCTTGGGTTTTAGTTGACTGGTGCAAAAAAGTTATCCTATTGGGCTGATTGTGCTTCTGGACTATGAAGTATATGGAAGGAATAATTCAATCTTGGTAAAAATAGTGGTAGTATCTTGATGTTAGAGAGAAAAGATTTTATCTTTACTGGTTGCTTCCAAAGGAGATGTTCTTCCCATTTGGGAAGAGAGTTAGATTACTCAGCTTTTCCCCATTTTACGGAGGCAGAACTGGTGGGGGAGAAATTCTGCCAGGATTCTCTAGAGGGTTCTCATAACTAGCAAATATGCTAAGACAAAGCTGTACAGGCTTGGAACTTTGCAAGTGCCTACTCCTGAGGATCATCTTCCTAATTAAGTTTCTCAAGGGACAGCTGTGATAGATTTATTCCTGTGATGCCCTGATGCATCGCTAAACAAGGGCCATATCTGTGCTCTGTGTGGCTTATATGGGTAGGGGAAGTATAGTTGAAAGAATGCATAATCATATTTTTAACTACTTTGTAAGTGATGTGGAGTGTCAAATGGTGTCAACTTTCAAAAGTCAAAATGGCTAAACCTTCCCAAATGCAGCTAATGCAAATCAGCTTCAGATCTCATCCCTAAACCACAATTCTGTAAGCAAACAGAGCAGAGCAAAGGGAGCAGAAGATCACAGGGAGAGATGCCCCCCTAGGAACACACAATGTTGTTTATGTGCTGCTGCAGAACAAAGGCCCTAATGCAGAATGCACTGCCATGCATAGGAAGCAGCGAGGAAATTGAGCATGCAAACCCACGGAGCAGCTGTGCTGCGTCTGAACCAAAGATAGGCTGTCTAACTGCCTGCTGATCCACTGAAGGCAATCTGTGAGAAAAGGCTAGGGAGGGAATGTGCCTCACTAGGAAACCTGCCGTACGATGATGGAAGTTGGCATGTTTGCCAGTGATCTCATGTTATTTGGGATAGCAGATCCAAAGGAGACCGCTAAGAATTCCAGACTTCTTAATTGTGTGCAAAGTAGTAACAGATGACATTCAATATTAGTAAGTACAAAGTAAGGAACATTAAAACAAGGAGTCGAAGTTATACATGTTTGGCGAAAGCCTTGGCTGCAGGGGTGAAAAGGGCAAATATAATGGGAGGAATCCAGCGTCTTCTGATCATCCTGTCAGTGCAAGCTTTTCTGCTTGCTGGACAGAATAATCTCCCCTCCCCTTGCACCTTGTTCTGGGGGAGGCATAGGAGGAGGAGGGAAGAAAGCCCTATTGCACTAGCAGGAGCCTTTGCACGGATCTCTGCTAGTGCACAGGGTTAGTTGAATATTAGGAATGTTCAGAGAAGGGAATGAAAATAAAATAGTAACTACTTGGTTGTGTATCTTTTCCCAGGATTGGGAAAAGTTTGTGGATTTTGAAACTATTATTTTACAGTGGAAAAGATAGCTTCTCTTGAGAGGCTGAATGGTTCTTGTTTCTGTCAAAGTCTATTTCTGATCAGGTTTTAGATTTGCTTTTTTCTTCTTACAACTCTTCAAATGCCAACACTGATCATTCCATGGATTTCTGTCTTGACAAAAAGACATAGGCTGTTATGTGGTGGGAGATGCTTCAACCGCCTTCCAGTTCTTACGTATTTTCTTCTGAGCTCTGATATTCAGAAAGTGGGCTCAAGAGCTCTCCAAGTCATGGGGAACCTGGAACACACTACCACATACATATAACTCCTGCTCCAGGATGATCATGGATTTCACCCAGAGCATGTAGAAGATTCTATTTAAAGTATATGGATTTGGTCAGGTCCCTACACTAACCCCTTCCCCATTTCAGTCCTCACATGATTTCATTGGTACTTGTTTCCATGTAAGTGCATTTAGCAGCATGCAAAGATTGTATGTGTGTGTAGTCTGAATAATCATGCACAGACATAGTTTCTTTTATTTCAAACATGGCATTTTCCCCTTGCACAGTTGGCAACCCATTATGAAGTTCATCAATGATCAATATGAGAAGTACCTCCAGGAAGAGCTTAATATTAACCGGAAGAAGCGGATACCAGATACCAGAGTCCACTGCTGTATATACTTCATCCCAGCCACCGGTCACTCGTACGTATCCTCCTTTTGGACTGCACCACCTCTCTGTCTCCAAGAGGAGCAGAGCAAATAAATCTCATGCCCCAGATTCTAGATACTTACTTGTCTGCTACTGATAAGTCCCTTTTTTGGGGGGGGGGGTCTCCTTGACATTGGTTTCTTAGTACCTTTTTCTTTATGCTGAACTTTCTCAAACAGGGGTTCCTTTTGCAGCTCATGAGTCGTAACATTCATAGGGTGTGACGGTTAGAATATTGGGCTGTTCTGAGAGCCAGGTTCAAATCCTCGCTCACCCGTTTCTCAAGGTAACCTACCTCATAGGGGGAAAAGAGGGGGTACACCATCAACCAGAGCTTTCCAAACTCTGTGTCACGATATGTTAGTGTGTAGGTGTGTCATCTGAATGCTCCCCGCGCTCCTCCCAGGGCTGGAAGGGATTTAGTTTAACCTCCAGTTTGCTTGTAAAACTGAATTACTGTGTCATGAAATGGTGCATGTCTAAAAAGTGTGTCACCAACATGAAAAGTTTGGAAAGCTCTGCCATAAAACCTGGCAAACACTAACCTTTAGAGGAAGGAAGGGCAGGATAAAAAATAAATAAGAGATCATGAATGAAGACCAAATTCCACCAGTTGGTCCTGAGTCTTAATGTGAATAAATATTCTTATTTGGAACATGGCAAATGCTGGCAATAGTCAGTCCCTGGCTTCAAACAGGCCTTAAAACCCTGTTAGCACTATTTTGAGACACCCTTGTGCTCACACCCCTTTTCTGTTAGGGCTCTGCGATAGGTGCTGATTCCCAGCATGTAAAGGACCTGCTCCACACACTCACACACCTTCACTGGGAGTCAGTGTGTAAATCTACATTTCTGTTTCCCACGTATGTAGCCACTGAAACATTAGACTGCCCGTCTAATGGCGCCCCGCAGCTTTCCTCTCGCCCTGCTGCTTGCATGGTAATCGGTGCCTAGAAGTCTGCCTCATGTATTCCCCTTCTCCCAGGAACATGTGTTTCCAATATAGGAAATGGTTTTGAAGCTATGAGACACCCCATCACTGGCTTTCATGTCCCTGAAATTGCTTTTGGCTACAAGTAGTGTGATACCCCTGCTGGAGGTTAGAACTAGGTGTTCCCTTGGCAGATGCCACAAACGGCTTGTTCTTGGGCTGTTGGTTTTCTTCACCAATGTCAAAATGGATGTCTTGGGTTTTTTATATCATTGTGGGGGTTTTTTATCGTTGTCTTTTGAGTTGAGGACACAGACCTAGGGATGGGTGAGAATGTGTTTCTGAATGAACTTGAGTTGCAGCCTAGCTGGCAGGTTATGAATGGGGGTGAGGAGCAGAAGAAAAACCTTAGTGAGGGACAGTAAAAAAGCACATAGAGAACTCTGGATCTCCTGATAATTCTCAGTGCACTAGAACTTCTTTAGCATGGTGTATCATCCCACTTCAGTGGCTGCAGTTTGGTGACTGAAACTAGTTGTAACAAGGCTTTCCAATGGGAATGATAGTACATCTCACTTTCCCTTAACCAGTGTGGTGTAGTGGTTAAGAGGGGTAGATTCGTAATCTGGGGAACCGGGTTCGCGTCTCCACTCCTCCACATGCAGCTGTTGGGTGACCTTGGGCCAGTCACACTTCTTTGAAGCCTCTCAGCCCCACTCACCTCACAGAGTGTTTGTTGTGGGGGGAGGAAGGGAAAGGAGAATGTTAACCACTTTGAGACTCCTTCGGGTAGTGATAAAGCGGGATATCAAATCCCAACTCTCTAACCTGCCTGCTTCATTATCATGGAATACTAGTTTGGCACAGTCTGCTTGATACCCAATATAATTATATATTCCTGTGGGTTCATAAGGGTGTGTGTGTGTGTGTGTGTGTGTGTGTGTGCGTGCGCGCTGGTAGGTGGAAGACTCAGCTTGCCTGTAGATATGTCTTCATTCTTTACAATCCTGCTTCCCCCCCCCTCCTTCCTCAAGAGACCCAAGGCTGCTTCTGTTACTTTTTAGTCATACAGAGATGTGTGTTGCTTGCATGTGTGTATTTTGCTGCCAACCTATCCACGTCTGCCATGTTGTGAAATCTCCACAAATATTTTCATAATTGAGGGAATTAGAAGCTTGCTCCTCTCCACCTGTACCAGGGATGGGTCTCCAATTGATGCACACCATATGCAAAATCTATAGCTGGAATAGCGCAGTCAGTAGAGCATGAGACTCCTAATCTCAGGGTTGTGAGTTCAAGCCCCATGTGGGGTAAAAGATTCCTACACTGCAGGGGGTTGGACTAGATGACCCTCGCAGTTCCTTCCAACTCTGAGAGTCTATGAAATGCATACTTAACTTACCCTGTTAATGACAGAGGATCCAGTTGCTCCACAGTTCTATTTGCTGTCAGGTTGTTCTTGGTTGGTAAATGTCATAGATGCTCCTGCACAGGGGTTGCTCACTAATCTGTGAAGTTTTTTTGGGCAGACGCCTAATGACTGGGCCGCTTGCCATATTCCTTTAGTTTGGAGTGTGAGAAGTGCATTTATTCTAATTAAGAGACACATGGCCGTGGTTATGCTGTGTAATCCAGAACCCAACACCATATGCAGACTCCACTGGATCTCACACTTCAAAAACTAAAAGCTTATAGCCTCAGAGTTGTGGAGAGAAGCATGGAAATATCTGAGCAATATCATGGAAATATCATGTGATTCATGATGATGTCCATGAAGTAGGAGAGATTTTCATGGGTCTTCCCCAGTCAGGAAACCACTGCAGGGAAAGAGGTGGTGTGGATGGTAGGTTATAGCCACAAAGGCATGCAGGCTTCCAGATACACAAAAGCCCCCAAACATGCCAATAAGCTCAAAATATGTCTTTGGTTTCTCCCTGTTCTAATTAAGCCACCCGTGGGTTTTGGCACCATCTCGCTGCAACGCATGCATTTTTCACACGCTGCCTGTATTAGCATATTATACATCAAACTTCAGTGCCTTTGAGACATGAGGCCAGCTTGCACTGAGCACTGCTTTCTGGGATGATGGAATTTGGATTAAATTCAATTCAGCTGAAGTCTATTTTTCTTTTTTCTTTTCTTTTTTGCAATAGTCATAAATATTTATCATATACTGAAACAGGCGAGAACTGGGAAAGCTCAGAGTGGCTTTTATGAGCCTTTTGAATCCCTTGCTCCAGTCTGTAAGCCAGAGCTATTGTCCCATCTCATTACAGCCCTAGTTTGACGGATTGCCTGCCCCTATCTCAAAACAGTCTACCAGCATTTGTGAAAGCTTCTCATTTTTAGCTTGTTCTAAAGTAGAACTTTTGTGCAAATCATCTGATGACTTCCCTGTCCTCTTGTAGCTGAGCTGTGCATCTCTGTTTCATACATATCAGGACGAGCCATTCTGAACGAGCAAGACTTGAGACCAGTCTGATGTTCCCTAGCCTTTTTTTCCAACAGGACAGTAAAACTCATTTTTAAAGGGCTGATTTATTTTATACTGGAGTGGAGGGAAGGAGTGGCCAAGGTAGTAACATTGCAAACACTCCCCACCTTATAAATTCACCATCAGGCTCTGTTTTGACATCTGGAAAATCCAAGCGGTTGTGAATCAGGACACCTTCTTAACTCTGCAGCTCTACTGATGCTTGCTCCAGTACTTTTTCTTTCTTTCTCTCTCTCTCTCTCTCTCTCTCTATCTCTCCCTCTCCCTCTTCTCTTGCTTTGCACAGCTCACAAAGCCAAACTCTGGTTTACTGGGACTATGCAAATACACAAGCTCCTAGAGGGGAGTTTGCAGCTGTTTTGCTCCTCTCCGGGCACATAATTAAGCCATGCTTTGGCTTAGTGTGCCATTTGTACTGGGGCTCATTGTTAAGTATGAGCTTCAACAAAGAACAAATCTTGGGTAGGGGAAATATGGAAAACTTGCCCACAAGCCAGATCAGGTCTTTATTTATTTAACAAAATTTATAAACTGCTTGATGGTTAGAGAACCTAACCATCTGCTGACTTAAGTGTGTCATCTAAACTAGGCCACCGTGTGTTTGTGGTACAAGCTTCACATCAGACTGTAGAGGCTGAGTTGACTCTGTGATTTCCTGATGTGGATGCTGATTTGAGAAACAGTACCATGATATACAGGACCTTCTTGTCATCCTCTGTGCTCATAACTTCACTATGTGGTAAAGGGCTTGATTCTATGTCTGGAGGACAGCTTGTGTTGTGCCTTTTGGTGGATGGTGCGACATGTTTTCAGACACTGCCTGCTTCAGAGCAAAGGGATAAATGAAAACCAAAGCTGTGAGTCAGAGCTGAGTATCTAGTCTGGTGTGACACTGACTGTGAATCCATCTGCACAAATTGTATCATCACTAAAAACCATTAAAAGCATTATAGCATTATAAATATATAAAAAACATTATATTCAGCATCTTGACTAAAAGATGCTGAATAAAAGTGCAAAATTTAAGTGGTTTTAGTAGGTCATAAAAGAGCAAGTGACCATCTTAACCAGAACATCCTGTGTCACTGTGGTGCACCTGCACATACCTTTTAAATACAGGACTAAGTCATGCTGAATACAGTCACAATAGGGAGAATTCAATGCCATGATGTGTGGACTGTTCCTTCTGCACATGTGTGTCAGCTTGCTTGATGAAGTGATCCCCTGTGCACTATTCTGTGGGTTTTCCTGACCTCCCAAGGCAATTGGGGGGCATGCAAAGAGAAAAGAGAGGGGAAAGCCCCCACTGTGTTAAGTCAAAGCCCTTGCACAGGGCTTCTGCTTATGGGGTTTGTTGTGTGAATCCCACTCATAGTTAACAACTTAGCTGCTTCTGCACCATTTTTATGAGAGAGTGGCCTGTACAAGTGGCATCTCTCACCTTTTCTTCTGATGGCAGTACCACCTGCTTGGAAGATAATAGCTTTGGTAGACCCTGCCCAACCCTGCAGAACACTCTACTGTTCTACCTTCTGTGTTCACACTCACACATCCCCTGAGTTTTCCTGCTACATAACATGCATAAATAAAAGGGTGCATTGTGAGTCTTTTTCATCATGGTGATGAGGTTAGAAACAAATACTAGCAGTACTTATTTAGAAGATTTATAACCCTCCTTTCACCCTCGGAATACTCAGGGTGCACTGTGACATTTAACATAAAATGCAAAATCCTGTGATGAAACAACCAGCAGAATCCTTTCAGGTACCTAAGGCTCATTTTAAACGGGCCAAGGTTTCTAAATTGGGTGCAGCAAGCAGCCTCCTCTCTGGTATCCCACACTTGCCTCATGTGGCAGGCTGACACTGGGACCTTCATACTCACCTGCCCAACTCTACTCTTTCCAGGCTGTCACAATTCTCTGGCTTCTCTGCTTGTCATCCGTGTGTGTGTGTGCATGTAGAAGATGCTCAGTACTGTCATCGTCTCCTTGAGCTCTTCATTCTAACAGGCTCTGTTCTTCTGCTAGCGGCTTTTACCTCCCTTGGCAAAGTGTGCCAGGCCACGTGCAGAAGCCTTGCAGGCCAAAAAGATAAAAATAAAAATCCTATCAAAATTCTCATGTTCCTCTTTTTTTCTGGAGGAGGGCAGGGGAATATATCTGCACACCGCCCCCCCCCCCAAGCCAGGAGGCAAACTGGTAGGACTAGTAGAGAAAGCAGCTTAGCCCCTGCAGCCAGGATTTGCCCCTTTGCCCAGCTAGACTGGTGTTGATGCAAACTCAGGTTTAATTCGGTCCTGACTACCTTGCTGAGTGCAGAGCAGAGTAATAGTGCTGTGGAGCCGTGAAGCTGCTTAACTTGCTTTCAGGATTAATGCAAAAAACAAAGCACACTTTCTTTTTGTGGGTCATTGGTATGAAATGGCTACTCCCTGTAAACAGGCAGACCCAGCCAAGATATTTTGGAAAGCTGGTGGTGTGTGTGTGTGTGCGTGTGTGCACTTTTGGTCTGCTAAGCATTTGGCATTGTGTTCGTTGGCAAAAACAATCCCTAATTAGGAAGGCTTCTAGGAGCTGAAATTCTTGGGCCTTCTGTTTCTGCTGATTCCTGCACAGTGAGGGTGCTTCACACATGTTGATTTTTCCTGTTTGGATTACCACTCCCATAGATCACCCCGCACCCCCAAAAGCTCTTATGCAATGTATGGTCAATCATAAGTGACAGATGTGCCTGTGGTGCGGGTGCACATAAGACAAAGAAAACAACATATTTGTCCCATGTAGCAATGATTAAAGCTACTCCATCCAACAATCCACCTCCATATTTTTCTGCAAATGAATGGGGCATGTAGCAAATTCATAACCCATAATGCTCACAGTTTGTTTGTCCATCACATTTATTCTTGCCTCTTGCCACTCAGTGGCATACAAAGGGGTTAACCCTGTTTTTTCCTCTTAGTAACCCTGCAGAGTAGGCTGGGCAGAGAGAATGACTTGAACCTGTGACTCCACAGGCCAAGAAGCATCCATCATGCATACGCTAGCAGGATTTATAGCTGCATATAAGGTGGAGAGAAATGTAATCTGTCTTGAGACTTAGGGCCAAATTAGCGAAAACACACTTCTTTTTTAAAAAAGTAAACAGCTGGTGTGAGGGGTCCAATTGGGATGGGGAGGGCTTTAACCCTTTGTCCTCAATGTAGTCCTGGTCTGGGACAACTAGTCCATCTAGCAACAATGTCTATGTCTAAAATGTTTAAATGTGTTCAGGTGTAGTTTGCTATCACTTGCTCTTTGTCTGTTGCAATCGTCATATATCTGTTGGTGGCAATTGCCACAAATGCTTCCAGGAAAACCACCCTGTGATGTACGCCTCACAGACAGGCACTGTCTGACACACCTGGTCATGAAGGCCTGCTTGATAACCAGCAGCCTAAGTGATCAACTTCCAGTAACCAAATAGTGGTTCCAGCCCCCATTTGGTTACTGTTGTCCTATTGAGAACGTAGTCATGTTAGAGGCAAGAGGATACCTGGCTGGTGGGGCAGAAGGACCAGAGCCTTCACCCACCTCCACTTCACACCCTAGATCAGCTGTTGGCCTCCTGAGTATCACACAGAGCGAATTGCTTCCTTGTGGCATTTCAGTGCTTCTAGAAAGGCCTACTGTCAGTTGGGAAGGGAAGTGGAATGTCATATGTCTCAGCATCTTTGGTCTCCTTTTTGTTTTAAGAAGTCCTTTCATCTTGCTTTTAGCCTCCGGCCGCTGGACATTGAATTCATGAGACGCCTGAGCAAAGTGGTCAACATTGTGCCTGTCATCGCCAAAGCAGACACATTAACGCTAGAGGAGAGGGACTACTTCAAGCAAAGGGTAAGAGGGATGGTGCCTTCTTCTCTGACCTTTCTGAGGATCTCTTGTCCTCTCCTGCAGCTTCCCCTGTGCAGGTCGCTGAATCCCAGTCGCTGGCTAGGAGCCCAGCACATTCCTCAGGCCGCAGCTCAGAGCAATCTTGCATGGTGAGAGGAAAGGCCTTCATTGATCTCCAAGCCATTGCACGTATTTCTCTTGGCTTGGCCTCTCTCTCTGTGGAGAAGGAATAAATTCAATTTCCCATTCTGATTCTTTTTCCTTCTGCAAATCTTTCTCCTGGATTTTAAAGACAGTCCAGGCCTGCTGTCCAAATGGCTACAGAAGTGTACCATCAACCCCCTGCTTTTTCCACCTAACTCTGCAACATATGCCCAGCCATGTGACTAATAACTTAAGAGGTGTATATGCTCCTCTCACCCTGCTCTGGCTACCTATCGTTCTATCTTCCACTGCTACCTTTTGACCCAGTAACTGGAAATTAACTGCTGGATTTCTCCTTGTACAGTCGTACCTTGGATCTCAAACACCTTGGCTCCCAAACAAATCGGCTCCCAAACGATCGAAATCCGGAAGTGAGTGTTCCAGTTTTCAAACAATATTTGGAAGCTGAACGTTTGGCGCTGCTTCCGATTGGCTGCAGGAGCTTCCTGCAGCCAATCAGAAGCCATGCTTTGGTTTCCAAATGTTTTGGAAGTCGAACAGACCTCTGGAACGGATTCTGTTCGACTTCCAAGGTACGACTGTAGTAGGAAATTGAGGGCATGGATCAATTTCCAACCATTGTTGCCCTTGGAGCAAGTGCAGCAGTAAAACATGAGTTTGTGAAGCTGCATTAAGCAGCATGGATCAAGGAGATGTACCAAAAATGTCACCCTCAAACTTTAATGCTCCTTAGAACTGCACTGCACTTAGTATTTAATATTGTATCTCCACCTTCTCCAACCTGGTGTCATTTAACCAAGAGCTGTACACTGCAGGGTATATGCAAGATCCCGGACTCTGCTTTTCATACAGAACAGGGACTGGAGAGCTTGAGGCTCTGCAGATGCTGTTGGACTCCAAACTCCCACAAGTCCATGTCAGCATGGCCAGTGGGGCTTGGAGTTGGAAGGGCACAGGTTGGGAAAAGCCAATTTATCTAGTCAACTATCTAGTTGTTGTTGTTGTTTATTTACGATAAGGAAGGAACCCTTCCTTGGAACCCAAGGCGCTGTCCATCAGTTTCCCAAGTCTTTTCCCAGATGCTGATCAGAACTCAGGCACCCTTACCGTTGGTAAGGTTTCTACATCATGGGCCTCAAACCATGGCATCAGTTGGCTTGATGAAGAACATGGCCACATACTGCAATTCCCTTCTGCTCCAGTTTGAGGACTCCACTGTTGGAGCAGTGTGCCTCTGAATACCAGATGCTGTAAAGTGGGCTCAGGTCCATCTTCCTGGCTTCCTATGGGCATCTGGGCATCCACTGTGAGATTGGGGTGCTAGACTAGGTGGGCCAGTGGCCTGATCCAGCAATGGTGTATTTACATTCTTATGATAGCTTTTTCGATAAAGGTATTTTATCAGCATTTCTGACTAACCACAGGCTTCTTCTGTTCCCTGCATTGTTTTTCCCACAGATCACAGCAGATCTCCTTGCCAATGGCATTGATGTCTACCCACAGAAACAGTTTGATGAGGACTCTGAAGACCGACTAATAAATGAGAAATTTAGAGTAAGTGAGCGGGTCCTTCCTTGACTTGTTTAGCATTCGCTCGAAGGCAAACAGAGCCTAAAGCATCCTTCTCAATGGTCATTTGTCAAGGACAAGAATACTTAAGTGAAAAGTCAGTTTTGCCTGTGAAATTCTCAAAATCGCTCATCTCTCATGAGCCAGTGTCCAGGAGAGGCTTGCCTAGTTTGGCTGGGTGACCCTCTTAACCTGTTTCACTGGCTCAGAAGAGCTAAAGTGGATGTTGGAACTCTCTGAAATAAAGGAGTATGTGGTGGTGATAGTGGTGGTGGGGTAACAGGAATTAACACATTTCCGACTTAATGAAGAAGGGTTGGATTTCATGAGCCCCAATTTCTGACACTTTGCAATTTAACTGTAGGAAATGATTCCGTTTGCTGTGGTGGGCAGTGACCAGGAATACCAGATAAATGGAAGGCGAATTCTGGGAAGGAAAACGAAGTGGGGCACAATTGAAGGTAAGAGCTCTTTCTCCTGTCTCTTGCTTCCTAGTAATCTTTAAACTGTTAAGACTGCCAAAGAAACACCTTAGAGGCCCCTCCAGTCTCTTGGGCTGCAACAGCACTCCCCCCCACTGGCCATCAGTAGGGCTGTACAGAGCCCCGCTGATCTGCCCCAGGGACAATCTATGACCGTCCTATCCACCTTGGAGGGCCCTGGGGACACCTAACTTTCCCAGGATCCATTCCCTAAGAAATTTGAGGGAGCAGGACTCAGGGTTTGTTTGTTTTTAAAATAAAAAAGTTAAAATAGGATTTAAAAGTATGGTCAAGATGAGGACCGCACAGGATCAGATGCTCTTGCTTGCCAGCTGGCAAGCTGGAACATCTGATCCCGCACAATGCTGCTCCTTTGTGAGCAGCTTCCCTGCACACGAGGGAAACAAACTGCTTGTGGAGGAGCAAGAGCCAGCACCCTGCAGCACTGATTCCTCCCACCACTTGCAAGCTGGCAAGTGGGACTATTTGATCCTGTGCAGTGTTGCTCCTTTGCAAGTGGCTTCTCTTCATGCAAGTGAAGTTGCTCTGCTCATGAAGAAGTAGCAAATGGCACCGCTCAGGGTTGGTGCAGAAAAGCTGCTTCCAAAGCAGCGGCTGCACCCCCATAGGATTGATGCCTCTATTCAGCTGGGCAGAGGCATTGATCCTGCAAAGTCATCAGGCGCCTGCAAAGACGCAGCCGCTGGTAGGGTAGGTCTCAGCCTTTTCCTACAGTTTTCCTGCCCTACCTGCCTTTTCTTCCTGCCTGATACCCCACCCCTGACAGCCAAGGGCCATCAAAGCTGCCTCACAGCAATCTGTGGCTTGGGCGTTGGCCAAATCTGGTGCACAGCTCTACTGCCTCGCGACTGTGGCCTCCCCTGTAACTAAGACTAAGTGCATGCAAATTAAATAAGCACACATTGCCTCCCTATTTTATCCCTGCTTCTGCTTCTCTCTCTTTTTCCTTTGTGGTGCCCCTGCGTTGAATTTTAGGCTGTAAACTTCTTGGACAAACCCTGTGTACTGATGATGCCATATAAATACTAAGGATTTAATTCATGCTAAATATAGGATCTTAATACAACTGAAATCTGGGAGAGTATATTTGACAGGCAGGAGATATTTGTTTATTATGGAAGCCACTTTGAGAGAGCTTTACTCTTAAATATTTGAAATGAAATGAAAGTCATGGACCTTAGGCCAGGCTGCTGAGAAAAGCCCCTTTAACTGTTAGATTTGGGTGGGGAATTAGTAAACTGCGCAAGTGCACTGTATGATGAAAACCACAAGTCCAGAGCCTTGTGAGCCTGCTTTGCCCCAGACCCTGTAGATTATTAAACATGGGCAGAGTCAGTTACAGATACTCAGGTACCTTTTGGAATATGCAAGAGTATCTCATATACTTCAGTTACTACAGCTACTCTTGACTACTCCACAAGCTTTTCATGGGGTGTCTGAATGGCGCTCATAGATCACCACAGCTTGAGAAACGTGTGATTTCCTACTGGAAATGTTTGTGTGTTCCCTCAAAATTGCCTCTACCATGTCAGCTGCAACATCAAATGATTCCCCTCCCCTGTGTTACTCCTTTTGTACATCTAGCGGCACAAGCCACACTTGTTTTGTTGCCACCTTTTTATTTCTGTGGGTTTCTCTGATTTGTGATTCTTTGGCTCCTTGGTTAGAAACATTTTTCTCAAAGCAGGATTTCTCTGAAAAGAAAGGCCTTCATTTTAAGCCTTCTGGTTCCCCCCTGTGGCCAATCCTTGGTAACTCATGGAATCAGTGAGGCCATCACAAAGCAGGGTCTTCTTGAACTCATGACACTTGCCTTGTTGCCTATATATAAATAATTGAGAGTGGGGACACTCTACATACACTCTGTAAAGAGAGAGTCCCAAGGCAACGCTGTTTAGACACTGTGAAGAACTTGTCCTGTTCCTCAAACCCAGGGGGTGAGGAACCAGTTGTCTTCCAGATGTTGTTAGACACCCAACTCCCATAACCCCTGACCTTTGGCCATGCTGGCAGGGGCTAATGAGAGCTGGGAGCCCAACAACATCTAGAGGGCACAGCTAGCCCTGTTCTAACCTATGCTAGATCTTCAAGGGCCACTATTGAGAATTTAAACTATGCTCCAGACTCTTGCAAGTTCTTAGGGTATTGATGTGGTTTGTGAATCTGAAGTCTAGTGTGTATTGATTTTGTGCTCATATCAAGTATTGTATCCTTCTTTTACAGTTGAGAATACAACGCATTGTGAGTTCGCATACTTGCGGGATCTCTTGATCAGGTTGGTAACAGTTTCAAGGGAGAAAGAGGTGGGGGGGTGTTAATTCAAGATTCCTTAATTTTGTTTCTGTGATTTAAGAGTAGAGTATGTACAACTTTGTTTTGTGTGTGTGTGTGTATGTATATATATATATACACACACACACACACACAAGTATTTCCACACATGCACATGTGTGTAATATCTATTTATCTGAAGTAGCATCACAGCCAATGCATCCTGGATGCTACCACCCCACAGCTGGTACTGCTGCTAGTAACTCATTTATTTATTTGTAAATAAAAGTATTTTTGCACCACCATATCATAAAATATCAGGGCAGTTTATACAACGTTTAAACATAAAACTCCAATAAAAACAATATAGGTAAGCATTAAAGTGACTGGCTAATAAAAAAACCCCCACCTAAACAGCTGTAAAAGCTTGTCAGCATAAAAAGGTCATCAATGGATGCCTGAAAAAAGTGAGTCTGCCCGCCAAATCTCTGTTGGAAAAGTGTTCCAGCAATACCATGTGCCCAACTCCTGGTTGAGGCCAGTTGTCCCTCTGTAACCTAGGAAGCAACTAGCAGTGATGATCTCAGTGAACCAGTTGGGATATGAGGGCTCAAGCGGTTATTAAGGTATCCTGGTCTACTATACTTACTTCCCATGGCAGCACTCAGCTGTCCTGTTATAGGAATCTGACAAAGGGAGACCGTCTGGGTCAATCTACCCCAGCGCTATCCATTCTAACTAGCAGCAGAGTTTCAGGCAGGGGTCTGCCAAAGTTACTGAAGATGTCAAGAACAGCATCTCAGATTTTGCATCTGCAAGGCACTGCTTTTACAGCCCTTCTCCGTTACATTCCTGTGTCAAGCTGCTGTTGATTTTATTTCCAACATCAGAAAGATCTCTTTTTAATCCTCTCTCCTCCTTCCCATAGGACACACATGCAAAACATCAAGGACATTACCAGCAGCATCCATTTTGAAGCCTACAGAGTCAAACGCTTGAATGAAGGCCAGAATATGCTCTCCAATGGCGTAGCTGACAAAGAGGAGTTGGTGGCCAATGAAATGTAATACTCCATGCCTAAGCAAGGACCCAGCCTGCTCTCTTCCTCTCCCCCTCCCGCCCCACACTTTTCTTTTCGTTAAAAAAACAAAAAAAACAAAACCCAAGAAAAACCCCATATAAACTCTATGCCACTGTTGTTTTCCCCTCTCCAACAGTACCCAAGCTGCTGACATTAACTGACCAAATAACAGTACTTTTCTGTAATAAATGTAGTGTCTTTCTCTTTTCTAGTGTCTGTGATGTGAAACATCTATTCTGTTCTTCTGTGTAGGCTGTAGTTACTGATCCCTAGGGAGGGGATGAGGTTGAGAGGGAAACTCAACAGGATATGCATTGGTTTGATGATTTACTTTAGTTGTGGCCTCCTTGCCATAGATAGGTCCTTTACTGTGATAGGTGAGTGTCCCTTTCTTGAAACTCTGGGGGAACTCCTACTAAGGCTGAGATGGACCTTGTTAGAAAGCACAGACTGACCCCCCCTCCCCTGTCCCCTTTGGTCAATTGGGAGGTGAACTGTAAGTTTCATAGACAGCTGCCCTAGTGTTGAAGTTGAATGTGATACCTTGTGTTGTGCCATGAGTTGAAGCTATTAAGTTATGGGGCACAGGGCTGCGTGAAAGAGAGAAGAAGGTGCCGCACATTCCATATCCTATCCATGCAGTTTCACCTCCAGTTAAAGCAACAAAAGTTGCAATCCTGACCAGGTGAGGTTGATCTGGATGAGGAAGCTTTCATTAGCAACTTGGTTGATACAGGCCTGGTGAGGCACTGATAGATGCTAGGTCAGACATGCCACCAAAGCATCTCTCCCCCTCCCCCCCATATGAAAGTGAGAGAGAAAAGAGAGGTGTTCCTGTCTGCCTTCTTTGTTTCAGTGGTTTAAGTCTATGGTAATCTTCCTCTTGAGCCACTTGATTTCCTAGTGCCAAAGGTTTACTGTTCTGTAAACCAAAGTGGGAAGTGGAAAAGCATTGTGTGTTTGTTTTTAGTGTGTGTGTACGTGTGTTTGTGTTCCTCTCTCTTTTGTATCTTATCTCCACCCATTTCAAGTGAAGATTTTCATGACCTAGATAAAAGTTTTTTAACGTGAGGGTAGAGTGAATGGAGTATTAGCAGAAGGCACACTATGCACATCTTACTCCCTGCATGTCTGATCTATATTCCCTTTCCTTTTTAAAAAAGCCAGCAATAATAGGGAGCCAGCTTGCTCACTGGAGAAAAGGAGGTGGTCTACTATGGGATCAAATGTAAGTCACCTTGATTCTTAGGACATTCCTCTCCTCCCCAATCCCCCTGTCCCTTTAATCTCAGCTGAAAAGAGTTCAATCCTTCGAGCTCTTGTTTTAACCATTATTTAAAATGTTAGAGAGGCTATGGGGTGTGTGTGTCTTCCTGGCTGTTTCTCATTGTGCAGCTTTGTGTGTGTATAACTTTTCTAACTATCTGTGGCTAAAATTCCTTAGGTCTGCACATATAGATGTGCCATGCATGCAAAAAGGGATAGGGAACCTGTAACCCTGAAGATGCTGTTGCTCAAACCCCAGCTCCCATCATCCCAGAGCAATGGCCAAGCAACAACATCTGCAGAGCCACAGGTTCTTCACCCCCTGCTCTGTATTAAATGCTGAGCCCCGGGATCTTGCATGCATTCTGCAGTAATGCATGGCCCTTGGTTAAGCACACAGCTTAATCTAAGATTGTCAATTTACACGATACAATTTTCCAGATGATCTCTGTGCTTGAGGGCGGTTGTGAGGTAGGGACCATGGGGAAGCTATTTGCCCCATCAGCTGATCCGAATACTTGAGGCCCTATGCCTACTTTCCATGCCACATTTTAATATTGAATCAGAGTTGTGCCAGTTGCTCAAAGGGTTCTTTTTAACATTGATTTCATTCGAATACTTTAGTCAGTCTTAACTCTAGTGGTCAGGCGACTAAACTCTGACAAACCCAGAAGTTGGTTCATTTGTGCAACTTCTGGGTTTGTCAGAGGAAACATCTCTTTACAGAGAAAGGGGGAAAGAACTGCTTGCTAAACACTTACCCGATTTGGAGGGGCAGAGGCCATGTTCACAGTTATGGAAATCTAACCAAGAGAACCAGCAGTCACAGCTTTCTCTTCCTCAGACAGCAAATCTTAAGTAGCCAGCTCTATAGAATCACCTCCTCTTGTGCCATGTGCAGAAGACTCTCATCACAGCTCCTTTTCCAAAGTGGAAAGCTCTGAGCCATGCTGCCCTCTTGTGGAGCTGCAAAGAACAGAACGGGCATGCTGATTCCTGGCTTTCAGAAAAGGCAAATGATAAGTTTTCATCTTGCTCTCACTGGCACTGATGTAGCCCACTCTCAGCATGCCTAAGGGGAATGCTTCACACTTTAACACACAGCACACAGGGATCTCAGCCAGTGCCCACTTTGTCTTGCATGACCTTAGGATGCAAGCCTACAAATTGACTCTAACCAAGACTTCCCATGAGCTTACTTGCTGCTTCCACAGTGTTCCCTGACAAGTGCTTTCCTTTATGACTCAAAAACTGTGTCAGGCATTTAGTTCACTTGTTTGCCACTCATGGCCCTCAATGGATGCATCTGCACATATTCTTTGCTCAGAGGCACTCATACGTTGTTGTTGTTTTTGTGTTGCAAGTTAAATCTAAGCCTGCCATGTTAACTTTTTGTGTTGTGCCTCCCAAACGTAAAAATGAATAAACGGAGGACTCTTTACTGAGCTGTGTTAAGCTGAGGAAAATTATTTTTTTTACTTGCTGACTTGCTATATTTTAGCAAAATAAAATTTGTATTAACTAAAAATATATATATTTCAAGTGTTTAAGACTATGAAAAGGGTAATAGAGAATGTCTCTTGGTTTTTTTAGATGCACTTCAGCAACATAAAAATAAAAATGCATTGTATCTTGTTTGCCAATATCTCAGCCAGCGAAAGCAAGACAAAAATGGCTTTCTCCTTTTATATTGTACTTCGGGGCGGGGGGAGGTTTTACCGAATGAAACCAAAAAAATAAATCATCCAAATCTATTAAAAAATGGCCTTTTTGAGGATTGTATGCATTATGACAAATTTAGTTCTGTTTTGTATAAATAATAGTGTTTAATATGTATTTCCCAAAAATAAATGTTTCAAATGGAAAATGTCAGAAGGATTATTGTTGTCTTCGGGGCCAAAAGGTATATTTTGTATAAGCTTTAGCTGGGAACTACGCTTTTGCCCAACTGCTCTCCCAGCTTCTAAAGGTTCTTTTGCAAATGGACCAAAAGATGCAACAAAAATGGGATGGTGAGAAAGATAGTAACTTATTTTGCAGAGATGCTTGAATGTCTCTCCCCCTGCCCCCATCTTCAGTGCAGAAGCAGTACGGAAGATTGCCGTTCCTGAACTGATATTTTCAGGAACGGAATCTGACGGAATTGAGGCAAATAGTGGTGATGCAAGTTAAAAAGTAACCACTTACTCTACCACTTGATTGTAAAACAACAACACCCCAAAACCTTTAGGTGGTTTACAACAGATGCAGATGAGGTCTTACCAACTGATCCTGGGAAAGGGATCTTGGGGTGGTAGTGGTGGTGAATAGTTCCATTAAAGGGTTGACCCAGTGCATGGCAGCTGTGAAAAAAACACGAATGCCATATTAAGGATTATTACAAAAAGGATCAAAAATATAACTCCATTATTGTAATGACTTATTAATTACAAACTTAGCACATATATTGGTCAAGAAGAAAACACAAAACACAATAAAATATGTTAAGCATACTATTGAATGTAAAATATTAAAAACAATGAGAATTATAAAATAATTAACATTGTAAAAAACAAGGTAGGGTGTTAAAATTAAGACAAACTTGGCATACCGTGTGCATTTCTAGTCACCTTGCCTCAAAAACGATACCATAGAATTGGAAAAGTTGCAGAAAAAGGCAACCTAAATTATCAAGATGCTGAAGAAACTTCCATATGTGGAAAGGTTTCAGCAGTTGGGGCTTTTCAGGTTAGAAAAATGGTGAGAGGAGGGACATGATAGAGGTGTATTAAATGAAACAAGGTATGGAATAAGTGGACAGAGAGGTTTTTCTC